CCGCCCCGGAACCCAGCCCCCCACCCCCAGCCCTTTCGTAACCTGTCTGTTCGTCACAATCCCCCCCCCCCCCCCCCCCCCCCCCCCCCCCGCCACCACACCTGGCTCCCAGCTATTCTTAAAGGGGAGTTGCCCTCTTTCAACAGATTTTATTTTGTCCACAGCTTCACCAACATTGATATCTCTAGACCATCTGAGATAAATAACTAGCATGGGGGAGAGCTCATGAGAGCTCATCCATCCCTAGACAAAGAACCATAGGAGGTAAGGAAGGCTTAGAGTGGGAGAAACAGTCTTCCCCAGGGAAGAGCACACCAGGTGATTATCCAATACCAAGTGGCCAGCCCTGAAAACATACATACAAGTAAAGTAATATGGACCTTGCAGGTTATACTTATATAATCAGGAATATGTACATGTGTGTGCACACATATAACAATAACTACAGAATAAGTGGTCATGAATTTGATTAGAGCAAGATGGAGGACAGGAAGGGGAAAATGATATAATTTCAAAGAAATTACTGGAATAAACTTTAAAAAACTTCAAAAAAAACCAAACAAACAAATCAACCAAACAAATAAATAATCTTAAAAAATAAAAGAAGATTATTCTTTTTATGTTCATGGAATAGGTGCAATTAAAGATTTTATTTGTGCCGGGCATTTGTAGCACATGTCTTTAATCCCAGCACTTGGGAGGCAGAGGCAGGTGGATTTCTGAGTTCGAGGCCAGCCTGGTCTACAGAGTGAGTTCCAGAACAGCCAGGGCTATACAGAGAAACCCTGTCTTGAAAAACAAAAACAAAAACAAGGCCGGGCAGTGGTGGCGCACGCCTTTAATCCTAGCACTTGGGAGGCAGAGACAGGCGGATTTCTGAGTTCGAGGCCAGCCTGGTCTACAGAGTGAGTTCCAGGACAGCCAGTACTATACAGAGAAACCCTGTCTCGAAAAACCAAAAAGAAAAAAAAAACCAAAAAAACAAAAACAAACAACAAAAAGATTCTATTTATTTATTTATTTTTGAAGTAGGGTTTCCACTGTAGCCTAGGCTGGCCTTAGTCTCACGGCAATCCTCTTGCATCAGCTTCCTGAGTGCTAGAATGATAATGTGAGTCACTACACCTGACTTTAAAGAAGCTGTGTGGTTTTAAAAATCACATTTGTTTGTTTGTTTGTTTATTGGGGCGCAGAATAGTATATATACAGAGGTTAGAGGACAATTTCTGGGAGTTGGGTCTCTCTTTCTGCTATGTGAGTCCCAGGGATCAGACTCAAGTTTGGAGGTCATTGCCTTTACCTGGTGAGCCGCTTGGCTGGCCTTACAGAGACTGATGTTTTAATTCCATTATTGGAGAGGTGGAGGCAGGAGGATTTCAGCAAGTTCCAGGCGAGCTTGATGTACATGTTGAGTCCAGGGCATCTAGGGCTAAATAGTGAGGCCCTGTCTCAAAATTAAAAACTAAATAAATAAACAAATTGTTCTGTAAGTCTTTTCAAGTGTATATAATAAAAGAACTATTTCTCAATATGTCAACTTAGTAAATTTTTGCTTGGTGGGGACTGTTGTAGCTCAGGCAGCCTGGTTGAATGGCTGCATGTATGGCTGCAAAAAGCAGGGTAGATCTGGATTTGCCTGCCTTGCCCTTCACTTGACCTGAGTTGAGTTGGGGTTTCCCAAAAGCAATTTCAGTGTTGGGCTAGAGGGTAAGAAAACGGTATAGCTGAGGCAGAGCCCCTCCTGTTTGCATCTTAGAGCCTAGCAATGCCGTTTGGGTGTGTGACTCTGGGCGACAAGAAGAACTATAACCAGCCATCGGAAGTGACTGACAGATATGATTTGGGACAAGTCATCAAGACGTGAGTGTTGGGCTGGTGAACAGTGATGGGTGGATAGACACAGGGATGGGAAAGAGGGACTGGAGTATACCCTGTCCTAAGGCCCGGTGTGCCTGCTGGCTTCAGTGAGGAGTTCTGTGAAATTTTCCGGGCCAAGGACAAGACAACGGGCAAGATGCACACCTGCAAGAAGTTCCAGAAGCGCGATGGCCGCAAGGTGCGGAAGGCAGCCAAGAATGAGATTGGAATCCTCAAGATGTGAGTGTGAGGGCTGGGGAAGAGTGGGGCAGGGGATGGCAGGGGAGGGAGCTTGAAGGGCAGGGCACCTGAGGAAGTACACGCTAGTCTGTTATAACCACTCAATGTTGGAACCAAGTTCTCTCAGGGTTACCCCCAACCCTGACTACTGACTCTTCCCACTGCCACTAGGGTGAAACACCCTAACATCCTGCAGCTGGTAGATGTGTTTGTGACCCGCAAGGAATACTTCATCTTTCTGGAGCTGTGAGTACCATTCTGGGGTTCCAGGATTCCCCAGTCCTTAGGGTCTTTTTTTTCTCCCTCCCTTTATAGCTAAAGAAACCCATTTTTGGAACCCTTTGGGTCCCAAGACCCTGGGCCCTGCCCGTCTAAGTGCCTAGTACAAAGCAGGCCTCCCAAATGCTCCTGTCCTACCCCCGATCCTGCCCACGCCGGGCTCAGGGGCTGGTGTCCCTCAGGGCCACGGGGAGGGAGGTGTTTGACTGGATCCTGGACCAGGGCTACTACTCGGAGCGAGACACGAGCAACGTGGTGCGGCAGGTCTTGGAGGCTGTGGCCTACTTGCACTCGCTCAAGATTGTACACAGGAACCTCAAGGTAAGGCCAGAGCCAGAGGGACCGGATCACCTGACAGTGGGCTGGGGATGGCATGAGCCACGTTGGCTCTGGGTCAGCTTTTGAGGCCCTCATGATGGCTTCTGCCAACCCTTCTACCATTCTCTCCTGAACAGCTGGAAAACCTAGTGTACTACAACAGGCTGAAGAACTCAAAGATTGTCATCAGTGACTTTCACCTGGCTAAGCTAGAAAACGGCCTTATCAAGGAGCCCTGTGGAACCCCGGAGTATCTGGGCAAGGAGGGATGGGACAGGGATGGTTGGAGGGACAGTCTTCATGGAGAGACTTTGGGGTAGGGGAGATGTTGCTATATACAGCCACGCTTGATACTGACCAGCAGATGACCATTTTTTTTTTTTTTTAGCACCGGAAGTGGTAGGACGGCAACGGTATGGTCGCCCTGTGGACTGTTGGGCCATTGGTGTCATCATGTATATCCTGTGAGTGGAAGGGCACACAATTGGGCTTGCATCCAGGTGGGCTGGACAATTGTGTCTGTGGCCCTCCTAGGTGACCCTACTCCATGTAGGCTTTCAGGCAACCCGCCCTTCTATGAGGAGGTAGAAGAAGATGACTATGAGAACCATGATAAGAATCTCTTCCGCAAGATCCTGGCTGGTGACTATGAGTTTGACTCTCCGTACTGGGACGATATTTCTCAAGCAGGTGAGGAGATACCCAGCATGTGGGCAGAGTATAGGGCAGTACGGAGGGAGGCGCTGCTCTCAGCTTCTGCTGGATTCTACTCCTGCTCCCCAGCCCACCCATCACATCTAGACAGTGAGATTGGGCACCCTTGCCTAGCCCATCCCTGGCTTTGTCCCCAGCCAAAGACCTGGTCACAAGGCTGATGGAGGTAGAGCAAGACCAGCGGATTACTGCAGAAGAGGCCATCTCCCACGAGTGGTGAGCAGGGCCCCGTGGGAGGAGTGGGCAAGTCTCTGTTATACTCTGAATGTCTTACACCAGAAGTCCTCATCCTTGAGGTTTTGAGGGTAAGGCAAGACTTTCTTGAGCTCTGGCCAAACCAGACGCTCTGCCTGGTGGCCCTAGATCACACAGGGAAGAACTGTGCCGTCTCTACGAAGACACAGACCATTCTGATCAGATGTGCTTGCCTCCTTTCTAGGATTTCTGGCAATGCAGCTTCTGATAAGAACATCAAGGATGGTGTCTGTGCCCAGATTGAGAAGAACTTTGCCAGAGCCAAGTGGAAGGTAGGCTTTGGCTCCCTTTCTTTTTGGCCCAGTTCCAAGTGCTTTCTCTTGCACCCCACAGTTCCTTGCTCCTACTGCACCTCTTCAGCTGAACACAAAGTTTTCTCAAGCCTTCACATGCAGCTGCAGCTGCTGCGTTATCAGAAGCTGAAGTACTGATTAGCTGGGTAGCCAGAGGCAGCTGGGGTGCTATGGAAGGGGCTGCTTTAGCCGTTTGGAAGGAGAGAATCTAGTGAACCTCACCATAATCCTTTCTTCACTGTCCTCCTTGCAGAAGGCTGTCCGAGTGACCACTCTCATGAAGCGGCTCCGGGCACCAGAGCAATCTGGAACAGCAGCAGCCCAGTCTGCTTCAGATGCTGCCACTCCGGGGGCTGCTAGTGGGGCCATTGCTGCAGCTGCAGGTGGAGCTGCCTCAGCCTCTGGGGCCAGTGCTACCGTAGCCACAGAGGGTGGTGCTGGGTGTACTGCCAAGAGTGATGAAATAGCCTCTGCAGATCGTAGTGCTACCCCAGCCACAGACGGCAGCGCCACTCCAGCCACAGATGGTAGTGTCACCCCAGCCACTGATGGGAGCATCACCCCAGCCACTGACGGGAGCGTCACTCCAGCTACTGACAGGAGTGTCACTCCAGCTACTGATGGGAGAGCTACACCAGCCACAGAAGAGAGCACAGTGCCTGCCACTCAAAGCAGTGGCATGCCAGCTGCAAAGGCAGCAGCCACCCCTGAGCCGGCTGTGGCCCAGCCGGACAGCACAGCCCTAGAGGGTGCCACAGGCCAGGCTCCACCCTCTAGTAAAGGAGAAGAGGCTACTGGCTGTGCCCAGGAGTCTCAGAGGGTGGAGACAAGCTGAATGGGCAGCCTGTTGGGGGTTTTGAGGGATGGGAAGGAGGGTGGGAGTTTGGATGAGGGGCTTCTCACTGTATATAGAGTCACTGGCATGATGCCCTAGCTCCCCCCAAGCTCCCTCATCCCAGTGGGGCATGCCTGGGGGCCATGGGAGAGCAGTCTCGTCTCCTGTGTGGATGTATGTGAGTGGTGGGCAGGCCAGAGGCAGGGCCAGCCCCAGCCCCTGCATGGATTCCTTGTGGCTTTCTGTCTTTCGCTAGCTTCACCAGTTTCTGTTCCTTGTGGGATGCTGCTCTAGGGATACTCAGGGGGTCCTTGCTCTCCTTCCCTTCCTGCCTCATCACTTCCCCAGGCAGGCCCTGCAAACCTCATACTTTCCCAGGCCCTAAATGGGTGGCCTTGCCCTGAGAGCTGGTCCTCCAGCGAGGCCCTGTCAGCAGTGTTAGGCTCCTGCACATGAAGGTGTGTACCTGTGGTGTTTGGGCTGCTCTAGGAGTAGACTCTGGCTGCAAGAGAGGATGCAGCAATCTAGGGCAGTGTGCTTTAAGTCTGGTCACATGGTTGGGGGCAGGCACTGCATGGTAGCTGTGGGGATCCTCAGAAGTGGGAGAGAGAATGGGCAGAAGCTTCCATCTTTTTCCCTGGGTGGGGATGGCAATCTTCCCTCTGAAGATTCTTGTGTTATTTCATAGCCTCCTGAGTCCTGTAGTGGGTTGCTCTGTATCCTGATTCTTATGAAACTCTAAAGGAGAGAGCCATGTCAGATGCAGCAGCAGTGCCTAGGAGAACAGAGTACAGGGCCAACACCAGTGCCCCAGCCTATCTGGGTCCTTCCTGTGAGCTGAATACGGAGGGGTGGTGTCCCCCCATGGTCTTCCTAGATGCCACTACCAAGGAAGAGACTTTTCCCATAGTCACCTCATGCAGGCTCAGGCCATAAATCCGCTTCCTCCCAGGGAGGCATGGCAGTACCTCATAGACTGCATTGGGAGCTTGCTTTTTCACAGCGGCAGATTTTCTGCTCTTAGTTCAGTAACACGGAGAGACTTTTCCTCGGTTTCTACTATCAGAGGTTAAGGTATCACTCAGCCCTATAAAGTAGCTCTGGCTGGGATGAGGAAGCAGAATAAGATCCCCCAGCTCCCTGAGGGATGCTCTTGGCAGGTGCCCTTGGTCAGACCCTACCACAGCCTGAACAGGCAGCCACGCTGGTCCTTGCCCTTGCTCGGCACTCTATGGTGGTCCTGCCCTTCTCCCTGCATGCCTGTGGGTCTGCTCTGGTATGTGAAGGTTGGTGGGCTAACTGTGTGCCTGCTGAACCTGGCAAATAAACGTCACCCTGCAAAGTCTCTGGCCACCCTCTTGCCTTTGCTTCCTCTGTCCTATTGGGGAGGAGCCTATGGAAGGCACTGGGGGAGGGAAGAGGCTGTGGGAGCAGGTTTTGAGTAGTGGCTGATGCTCTCAGTGCATTACTTGGGGTGAAAGTGGAGGTCACCTTCTCCAGTGTCTACCTGGATGATGTTGGAAATCCTCTGGACTCTAAAAGACTACAGGAATGGTGTTTTTCAGCTGAGATCTAACCTGGACAGAGCACTGAAGGGCTGATCCTTTCCCGATTCTTGCTGACAAAGAGCCTTTGTCTTAACTTGGACATAGAGGTGGAATCCACTGAGGGCCAACCACTATAGAAGTGACCTTGCTCGTGGGCACAGTGGGCCTCCTTGGGCTGAGGAGAGGGTGGGGTTGCACAACAGTTCTGTGCTGTATGTTGATGCCTACTTCCTGTGAATACCTGTGCTTTCCACTTAGACCAAAAAGATTTCATTCTGTCTTCCCCGGCTGGTGCATACCTGCTTTATAATATGGAGTCATGTATGTTTCTTCTGGGGGAGTAATACTGCTAACAATGCGGTAAAAATCGCTAAGGAGACTCGCGGCAACTCAGACGGGCTTTGGTGAACTCATCTGGGTTGCTTTCTCAGGGAGGACCTTAACTTATCTGATGTGGGAATAATAAAGAGGGTTTGCTATTTCCTGGTCTTTGAAGCATCTGTGCCTCCAAAATCACCATCCTACAGTCCCAGGCATAGGAATCCTGGGAGGTAAGGGCTAACTTACTGCCCCTAGTGTCTACCTAATCTCAAAGGTTGTCAGGTCATATTTAAATAAAGCCGGGGCTAGTGTAATGGTTTGAAGGGTTAGGATTTAATGTGTCCATCTTTCCAAGATGATCCATAATAGAAGGCTGAGGAAGTGGGGGCCCTCTTTCGATCTGGGAACTGTGGGCTGCCAGCATATGGCCTATTACTTTCCATAGCCATGGTACCATCATCCCTTTTTCTTGGCATTCCAGTCTATTTGACTGTCTTGAAGTGCAGCAAGAAGGAGGCTGGTTCGCTTCGCACCGGCTCCAGCTTGAGACAATCCCCGGCTTAACAGAGATAGGGGTCAGACGGTTGCTTCACTGTTTTCCGCCACAGGCCATCGCAGGTTTTTTTTTTTTTTTTTTTTTTTGTAGAAACAGGGATCCACTCCTAGGAGACTCCAAAGAGCTAAGTCTCAGGATTCCGCAAGGCTGGCGGGCTGCTTATCACAGCCACTCCAGCGCCCCGCCCCGAAGTTTGTCCAATCAGAGGGAAGAACTCTGATGTGAGTTCGTTATGACTTCCGGTTCAGTACCGGAAGTTGTGCGGTGGAGCGAAATTTGAAGGAACCGGTGCTGCTGCCGGTTCGGCCACCAAACTGTGTCTGTGGCTGGCAGCTGGCTCTCTGGGCTGCTTTGAGTCGAGCCATCATGCCTATCCGCGCTCTGTGCACTATCTGCTCCGACTTCTTCGATCACTCCCGTGACGTGGCTGCCATCCACTGTGGCCACACTTTTCATCTGCAATGGTGAGTAACGGCGGTTTAAGGCCCCGGTGTATGTCCTAGAACCACTCAGACGCTATTGGGTGTTGGGCCTAGAGACAATCCATCCTCTGAACTAAGACAAGTGACAGCGACATTAAAGGAACCTCATGGAAGCTTTCCAACCCGGGCCGAAGTGGGCCAACAAGCTGGTAGGTTTCTGGCAACCCTTAAGGGTCTGTGTCGTTTGCTGGATGGTTTGGGTTGTTTCTTACCCAGAAACATATCGTTGGTCAGACACTCCAGTGAACACGGCTTAACTTGGAATGGCAAGGAAGTGCCTTCCTGTCAAGGGAACATAAGTAAGGTAAAAGTCAGCCTGGACTTTCCAACCTTGTGTCAAAAAGATAAACAAATGAAACCTCATAATACAGTGTTGTGTGGTCTGAGCTCCATTCTCAAGGAGCCATTGTGTAGTTCGCAGTAACCCTACCACTAAAGGTATTTCTATCACCTGCTTTCTCCGAAAGCTTTCACCTTGGACTTTCCTGTCTATGTTTTAGGCTCGTTTCTTGAAAGCATATTTGGCTTTAAAAATCTGGTATAATAATACTTGTATTAAACTGAACCTTTTTAGCCTTCTTAAAATGTTACACTTACTGATGCAATCTATTATATTCAGTATTTTCTATCTTGTTCCATATGTTGCATTTTGTGATTTTGTCTTTTAGTATTTTTGTTTTCTCTGTATAGCCCTGGTTGTCCTGGAACTCACTCTGTTGACCAGGCTGGTCTCGAACCTAGAGATCTGCCTCCCTCTACCTCCCAAATTCTGGGATTAAAGGTGTATGCCACGATGCCTACACCTGGCTGATTTTTTTAATCTTATTTTTATTTTAAACTATATGTTATATGTGTATGTCTTTGGGTGGTTCTGTGAGTGCAGGTAGCCTCAGAGGCCAGAGTTGTCTGATCCCCAGGGAGCTGGAACTGGAGCTACAGACGTGAGTCACCTTATGTGGCTGCTGGGAACTGAACTCAGGACATTGAGAAGAGCAGCGCCAACACCTACTCTCAACCAGTGAGCTGTCGTCTCTCCAGCCTTTTAAAACAAACAAACAAACAAACAAACAAACAAGCCTTGCTGTGTATAGCTTAGGCTAACTGAATTTCTGGTTCTGTTTCTTCAGCCTCTGAGAGCTTAGATTGAGAGTGTATGCCCCATGATCCCCCTCTCCCTCAGATTCATGTCCTGCGCACGGCAGGCCAGCACTCTACCACTGGTTTATACCTCCAGGCCTTATATCTATTTTTTGTTTGTTTTGGTTTTAAAACAGGGTCTTTCTTGTTATATAGTATTGGCTAGTCTGGGATTCATGGCAGTTCTCCTGCCTCAGCCTCCTAAGTACTGAGATTGCAGGTGAAAACCACCACTCCTGGTTTCCACCTACCTGTATACGTTGACTCATGTACCCTTGGTTGGCTTTGAACTTGCTGTGTACCCAGGGATGACCCTGAATTTGTAATCATCCTGTCTCCATTTCTCAAGTGCTATAAGTATATACCAAGTATACAAGTATATACCATCCTGTTTAGTTTATATAATGCTAGGGATTGGATTTTGGGCTTTGTGCATGCTTGGCAAACACTCTGTTTATTCAGCTACATTCCAAGACCTGCCCCAAGTATTTTTGAGTGGACTTTTTTTTTTGAGACAGAGTCTCACTATGTAGTTGACCATGAACAAGGAAATGCACCTGAGTTTGGAAATTAATTTTGTTACCACCCACACCCAGCACTATTTCAACCGTCTTTACATGCTGATTCCATGGCATTGAGAACATTTACAATGTTATATACCTTCAGTGTTGTTATCTGAACTTTCCATCAGCTGGACAGAAAGACGTAACCCATCAAATACTAACTGTCCGAGTTAGTCCTCCCAGACTCCGAGACCTCTGCTGCACCTCCTGTCCCTGAGTCCCCTATTCCGAGAATCCCATAGGTGGCATCTTGAATTCTTTGTCCCTTTGAGTCTGTTGTATTTCACGTAGCATTATAATTTTAACATTCACCCATCTCATAGCATATATCAGAATCTCATTTCTGTTGTGGCCAATATTTAATTGTATATATGAAAATACCATATTTTGTTTATCCATTTGTTTGTTGATAGACAGGTATTTCCAGATTTTGGCTGCTGTGAATAATGCTACTCTGAACTGTTGTGCAGATTCCTGTCTGAGCCCCTGTTTTCAATCTTTAATGTATACGTGGAGCTGAAAGGCTGGCACATATGGAGATCCTATATTTAGGGTTTTTCCGGAACTGGCATACTATTTTCCACAACAGCTGCCGACTTCTCTCTCTGTCTCTGTCTGTCTGTCTCTCTCTTTCTCTCTACGTCTGTGCGTCTTTCTAGTCCTCTCTCACATCTCTGAGTTAGTTGCACAAGCTGACTTTTAAACACCATTTTATTGTTTTTAGTGCTAGACATTGTAAACACAGACTGGTATATACTAACCCCATGCTCTACCCCTGAGCTAAATCTCTCTCTCTCTCTCTCTCTCTCTCTCTCTCTCTCTCTCTCTCTCTCTCGTTCGCATGCGCATTTCAGCAAGTTCTTGTTATGTAGCCCAGGTTGGCCTTGAACTCATAATCCTCTTGCCTCAACCCCCACTTGCTGGAATTTCAGCCATGTGCCATAATGTTCCAGTATATACCACAATGCCCCTAACTTTCCTGCAACAAAAAAAATATAAAGATTCCAATTTTTTCACATGTACCCTAGACTGGCCTTAAGATGTATGGCAGTCACCTTGTCTTAGTCTTGCAAATGCTGATACTGTTGCTTACTTTATTCTCCTGAAGAACTGTAGAAGAATCTACAGAAAAGTACACGTGTTAAAAGTGCATAACTCTAGGGGCTGGAGAGATGGCTCAGTGGTTAAGGGCACTGACTGCTTTTCCAAAGGTCCTGAGTTCAATTCCCAGCAACCACATAGTTGCTCACAAACATCTGTAATGGGATCTGATGTCCTCTTCTGGTGTGTCTGAAGAGACCAATGGTGTACTCATATATATAAAATAGATAGATAGGTAGATAGATAGATAGATAGATCTTTAAAAAAAAAGGTTAAGAGCCTTGGCTGCTCTTCCAGAGGTCCTGAGTTCAGTTCCCAGTAACCACATGGTGTGGCTCACAACCACTTATAATCAGATCTGGTGCCCTGCTATAAACGTAATAAATAAATCTTAAAAAAAAAAAAAAAGTGTATAGCTCGCAGGGTTGTCCCAAACCCAGCATGCCTGTGCAGCCAGAATTGAGATCTAGAAGCATGGTGTAGGACTGGAGGGTAGCTTACTGGTACAGCATTTGTCTCACATGGATAAGGACCTGGGTTTTCTCTCCAGCCCAGCAGAAAAAAGAGTTTAATGTCTGCATTAGAAGTCTCACGTGCCCTTCTGATTATTATCCCCACCAGCGCCCACACACATAAAGGCACCACATTGCCTGCGTTTTTCTTTTATACAGATGAGTTCATACAGAATATGCTTTTGTGTGTGTACCTAACTTTTCATTATGATTTAATGATTCATTGATAGTATGCTTCTTAGTTAACTCACTCTCCTGTGCCTGGTTAGCTTTAATTTTGTAGTACGTGGTCTTTGAATGTATCTGTAGTTTTTTTAAACATATTTATAGGAAAGATTTGGACATATGAGATGGTTTTTATAGGAGAGTTTGTCTTTTATTCTTGGGGTGAAGAAGGCTGCCCCCCTACTCCCCCAGTCTCTCTCTCAAGTCCAGGCTGGTTCGGAGTTTATGATCTTCTTGCCTGGTACGAGGATTATAGTTAGATACTGCCACACCAACAGGAAACTGTTTCAATTAACATTTAATGCCTGTCTGTACTAATATTATGTAAATCTGGGCATGTTTTGCTTTTACCTCTACTTAGTGTAGACTCTGAAGTCCTAACCTGAAGTTGGGTATTATCAGAGACTACTAGGTCTCTGAGAAACTCTGACCTTTGCCTGTCACCTACACTGTACAGCCCATTTGCAAAGAACAGCCCTAGGCAAAGTCTTTTTTTGTTGTTGTTGTTTTTGGTTTTTCAAGACAGGGTTTCTCTGTATAGTCCTGACTGTCCTGGAACTCACTCTGTAGAC